GACCCGAAACACCAACTTTCCTGCTCCTCTGATGCTGCCTGGCCTGCTGCGTTCCTCCAGCTGTGTTATGCCCGAAACTATCCAGTCTCTCTTTGTCTCAGAAATGCTCCATCTCAGGCAACGTCCTGGTGAATATCCCTCTGCAGCACCTCCAGCGCAATCACATCCTTCCTATAGTGTGGGGACCAGAACTGCATACAGTGCCCCAGCTGTGGCCTCACCAAAGGCCTGTACAGCTCCACCGTAACCTCCCTGCTCTTAGAATCTATGCCATGATTGATAGAAGCAAGTGTCCTGTGTGCCATCTTAACCTCCTTATTAAGCTGTCCTGCTGCCTTCAGGGATCTGGGGACAAGAGCCCCAAGATCGCTCAGGGCTTCCTGGCGTCCTGCCAATCATTGAGTACCCCCATTTCTTGTTCCTCTTCCAAAGTGCATGACCTCTCATTTATCAGGGTTAAATTCCATCTGCCTTTATACCTCTGACATGGAGATCACCAACACCCACTCATGCCACAAGAGCAGAACATGCTAAAGAAAAACTTCAGGAGGTCTGGAGCATCACTGGAGAGAGATAGAGAGTTAACTGTTGGGATTTTCAATGCAGGAGTGGGGAAGAGAGATCAGGTATATTTTGGATTCTAGTCAAGCTAATCCAAGCCAACCAACTCGACTCTCAACTATAAGCTGATGTTCCACAGCAGATTATCATGTAAATTGGACCTTTAATGATGAGGGATTGGGAAGTGTGGGTGCCAACAGGAACATGGGTATTCTTGATCTTGAGTCACTAAAATTTAGCATGTAGGCTGGGTCACCAATTAGGAAGACACATGGCATATTGGCCTTCATCTCAAAGGGAGTTGAGAACAGGGGTAAAGGAGTCTTGCTGCATTTGTATAGCGTTTGTGTAACTGCACCTAGAAGATAGCACAGAGTTTTGTTCTCCTTGTCTAAGAAAGGGTATGTTTACCATTGAGGAGATTCCCCAGATTAATCCCTGGAATGGCAGGATTGTTTTATGAGGAGACTGGTGAAATAACTCAGAAAATCTCTACAGTGTGGAAAGAGGCCATTTGGCCCATTGAGTCTGCACTGACCCTCTGACAAGCATCCCACTGAGACCCCCACCCTATCCCTGTAATCCCACATTTCCCACAGCTAACCCACCTAGCCTGCACATCTCTGGGGACGATGGGACAATTTCCCATGGCCAATCCACCCTAACCTGCACATCTTTGGACTGTGGGAGGAAACTGGAGCTCTCAGAGAAAACCCACGCAGACACAGGGAAAATGTGTAAACTCCACACAGACAGTTGCCTGAGAGTGGAATCAAACCCAGGTCCCTGGCGCTATGAGGCAGCAGTGCTAACCACTGAGACACCATGGCACCCTCCAGAGAAGCCAGTGTCCCATTACCAAGTCACTGTTTATCTATACCATATATATCTTAATATATCTATCTAGAGGCTTGGTTCTTCACCAAGAAGGCCATCAATAAACACGTAGAATTAGACCCTATATACACACCACTGCAATGAAAAACTGGAAATGAGGTACTCAATTCCAACAGACCCCAGAGTTTAAATAACAGGCCAGAAAATACAACTGCGCTTCATCAGAGGCTGCACTGATGATGTTACCCAGCAGGGTAATGAAACATCTGCGGAACAACGAACCAGCTCGGCGAGCCAACCAACCTCAACATCCACAACCCGAGCTACAAATCTACTCTAAAACCTTTATCTATACACGTATAGTACTTGTCACTGGCCCGGCTTCCTCAGAACCAGCCCTCAGAGTGAGCAGGGTTCACTCCTGTTCTTAAAACCGAAAAAACTGCGGATGCTGTAAATCAGGAACAAAAACAAAAGTTGCTGGAAAAGCTCAGCAGGTCTGGCAGCATCTGTGAAGAAAAAACAGAGCTAACATTTCGGGTCTGGTCACCCTTCCTCAGAACTGAGGAAGGGTCACCGGACCTGAAACATTAACTCTGTTTTTTCCCTTCATAGATGCTGCCAGACCTGCTGAGCTTTTCCAGCAACTTTGTTTTTGTCTCTCCTGTTCTTATCTGTCAGCCAGGGCTCCCTGATTGGACCAGATTAACAGCCCCCATCAGGGAACTCATATTCTATGACTGACCTCGTTACAATCACTACAACCTCCATAATTTTGAAGAATGAAAGGCGATCTTATTGAAACACAGAAAGTTTTTTGCAGGGTATGACAGGCTATAAGTAGACAGGATGATTTCCTTGGCTGGTGACTCTAGAACCACAAAGTCTAGCGTCAGGGTACAGTGTAGGCCATTAAAGAGTGAGATGAGGAGGAATTTCTTCACTCAGAGGGTGGTGACCTTTTAGGAATTCTCTGTCCCAGAGGCCTGGAGAGTCTCAGTCATTAAGTATGTTCAAGACTGAGTTTGAATAGCTGTCTACATACTTGAAACATCAAGGGATATGGAGATAGTTCAGGAAAATGATGTTGAAGTGGAGAATTAACAATGACCTAACTGAATGGGGGAGCAGGCTCAATGGGCTGAATAGCCTACTCTCACTTCCATGTCTTCTGTTTTGGTAAAGGTGCTACACAAATGCAAATTGTTGATGCTGTTGTTTCACTTTCCTCTAAACTCCGTTCCCTCGCCACTGAAGGTGCTGTTGAAAAGCAACAAGTCCGAAAGCTACCTCTACAGATTGAGATTAAAATATGAGGAATTAAATTGCAGAGAGAGATTGTGCAAACCAGGCACTAAGGGTTGATTTTTCAAGACATCAAAGAGAAACAAAATTAAGGTACAGAAAGTGGCTTTCTGTTGTGTCAAGAGTTAAGGAGCACATTCTACAAAATAAAACCAAACCTTTCAGGAATAACATTGGCAAACACTTCTCCAATAGAGGTTGACATCTTGTGGAGTTGATGGGTCTTAGACACTGGCTAGAGATCCAATGAGAGCCCTTCAACCCCTCTTTTTTTTGGGAAGGCTTGTCACACATTGTACGATTCCAGCGCTTGACAGGCCAACCCCAAGTCTTCCAATGACCTAAGGATCCGAGGGAAGGTGGGGTGAGGGTGTGGAATCCTCCTCTCCTGAGATCTAATGGCCAATCAAAGACTAGCTTCTCACTGTGCTCCCTGACACCATTGGGAGTTAGTGGATACTCCTGGTACAGCACCCATTGGAACATTGAGGATTCCTTGAGAGGATGTTTCTCCTCATGGGACAGTCTAGGACCAAACAGCATAGGCTCAGAATAAAGGGGTGTCAATTTAAGGCTGAGAGGAGAAGGAATATCTTCTCTCTGAGGGTTGTGAGTCTTTGGAACTCCCTACTACAGAGAGGTCTGGGGGCAGAGTCGTTGTGTATATTTAAGGCTGAGACGGAGAGATTGTTTATCAGTTGGAAATCAAGGGTTATGGAGAAAGTGGATGTGAGTAATGTCAGAAGCTGTTGCATGGCAGAGTGGACTTGAGTGGCCAAATGACCAACTCCTGATCTGACTTCTTATAGTCTAACATCTATATAAGCTCTGGGGTGAATTATGGTACCAGACTGAGGCCAGTGAATATCAGGAAGGAGACAATAAGGACGGCAGATGCTGGAAGCCAGAGTCTATAAGTGTGAGGCTAGAAAAGCACAGCAGGTCAGACAGCAACCGAACAGCAGGAAAATCAACATTCTGGGCCGAAACCCTTTGTCAGGAAGGGTTATCTGGAAGGAGGCTGCTGGTGCTCTGGGAAAGGGAGGGTGGAGGTTGGCGGCATAGGGCAGGGTGATGACTTTTAGCAGACCGACGCTGGGTCACTCTCTCAATCAGACACTGAGAGTCTTTGAACGAGGGAGACCCTCTAGGAACCCTCAGCCAAGTATGCCAAGGCTGAAAAGCCCCCTCAAAAGAACACCACTGGCCACAGACCTCCAAGCAGAAATACACGGCTCCACACCCCTCTGTCTTCTATGACGAAGACAATTTCGTATCCAACTTGCTAACCGCCATGGATTCCATGCGATTTAATCTTCTGGGCCTACCTATCATGAGGAACCTTGTCAAATGATTTATTAAGGTCCATGTAGACAATATCCATTGCCTTACCCTCAATAATCATCTTTGCCACTTCCTTCAGTTTCCCTTGCTTGAGAATTTATAAAAACAGACAACATAAAATCTCAGCAAGGGCTCACTCAATCAACACAGAGATGAGGAGGAATTTCTTCACTTAGATGCATTCCTTTCATTCGAGACGATGTCAAAGGAGTTTGTGTCCTGATGAGTTTTGCGTGTTTCTAAATGTTAGTCTGCATAATATGTACCTCAAAGAGTCAGTTTCTTGTTGAGAGAAATGTCTTGAATAACATTAACTATTTGCATAGTTGCAATATTACAGATTTTAAACAATCTGAGTTGGTTTTTCATAGAATTCCTACCATGTGAAAGCAGGCTGTTCAGCCTATCATGTCCACACCAACCCTCCAAAGTGCATCTCAAACAGCCACACATCCCCCTCCCCACCCTAAACCCTGCATCTCCCACGGCTAGCACATCAAGCCTGCACATCCTGGAACACTATGGGACATCCTGGCACAGACAATCCACCCGAACCTGCACATCTTTGGAATGTGGAAAGAAACTGGAGCATCTAGAGGAAACCCACACAGACATGGGGAGAATGTGCAAACTCCCACAGACAGTTGTCCAAGAGTAGAATTGAACCTGGGTCCCTGACACTGTGAGGTAGCAGTGCCAACCACTGAGCCACCATGCCACCCCCAGGTGGTAATTGCACATAGTGTCCATGGATTATGCACGGTAAATGTGAATTCAGTGCTTACTGATGCATGTATCGTACTTGCACATAATTGACCGACTGAACATACTTAGAAACATCTGGATGAGGACTTAAAATGCCAGGGGATATTAGGCTATGGAGCAACTGCAGGTAAATGAGATTAGTATAATTTGCTTACTGGTCAGCATGGACATGGTGGGCCAAAGGGCCTGTTTCTATGCTGTATGACTCTGAACAGGTATATCATAATTGCCACTATGGAGACATGGCTGCAGGGTGACCAAGGCTGGAAACAAATGTTCAAATGCATTCAATATTCAGGGAGTATAAGCAAAAAACTAAAAGGGGATTGGGTGGGGCTGTTGATAAAGGATGAAAACAATACTTTAGTGAGTGAGGATCTTGGAGCAGAAGACTTAAATGAAGAAGCAGTTTGGATGAACTAAGAGGGTGGAAGGGGTAACCTGCATTAGTGAGAGTTGTTTATAATTAGTGGTAAGATAGGGCACAGTGTAACTCAGAAAACTAGAGGCTGAATAACAAGGGCCATGGTGTCTTTTATCTACAAATTGACTTGGTAAACCTAATCAGCACTAATTCTTGCATAACATATTCCTGGGAAGTAAATGAAATTGTCATCTCAGAACAATATGTTGAAAACCTATTTAGGGAATGGACTATTTTAGATCCAATATTTTGCAATGAGAAAGATGATTCATAATCTCATTGTACAAGAGCCTCCCAAGGTTAATAGCCATGATGTGCTAGAATTTTACATTAATTTTGAAAACGATAACTTCAATCCAACACCGGGGTATTAAATCCACACACAGGGATCTATGAAGGTATGAGGGACAAATGGCTTTGACAGATCGAGAAACTAAATGAAAATATATTACGCTCGGCGGGCAATGGCTAGCATTCGAAGAATTTGTTCACAAAAGGTTTTGAGACACATACGCCACTAGGGGAGGCAATGCAGCCATGACTAAGGAGAGGTTAAAAATTGTGTTAGATCAAAAGAAGAGGCTTAGAAAGTTATAAAATAGTAACAAATCTTAGAATTGGTAATGTTTTAAGATTCAGGAAATGAGGACCTTGATATTGATACTAAAAAGTAAAACAGAATACGAAACTAAAACAGTGGGAATGTAAAAACAGACCGTAACAGCTTCTATGAGTATGTAAAATGGAAATGATTAACAAGGGAAAACAAAGGTCGACCAAAGATAGAGGTCAAATAATTTTCAATGGAGAATGAGGACATGAACAAAACATGTAATTTGGGCAGAATCTTGTATGGCGTAGGCCATGGCAAGATATCTTGAAGAATTGCAAAGGAACTCAAGCGAGGCCTCAACATTGGGAGCAGCTAATTGCATTTTCTAATAGAGTTCCGGAAGTCAAGATGAGACTGTCACTGGGGAGCAAGAGGCCTATTAACAGCAACTTTTTTTTCTCCTTCCATATTCCATTTTTCCATATTCCATGTTCCATTTTTTTAACAGCAATTATTGCTTGTTATTGCCCTCATGACTCTCAGCTCATTAACATGCAGCTTCCTATTGTATCATGGGATAGATAGAAACCCGACACTGAGAATTCCCAACAGGAAAGTCAGAGCTGCTGACTCCAAAAAACTGAAAGAACTGCGGATGCTGTAAATCAGGAACGAAAACGGAAGTTGCTGGGAAAGCTCGGCAGGTCTGGCAGCATCTGTGAAGGAAAAAAAATCACAGTTAACGTTTCGGGTCCGGTGACCCTTCCTCAGAACTCTGGTGACTCTATTTCACTGCTTGCACCTCCACACTACAATCTTGGACAGCGGGCACCAACGTTTCAGGGCCCCATGCCCACAAACACTGGCATCTGAGCTGTGCCAACCTCTATGCGCCATACTGGCACGTCCTGATCCCGATACAGTACCCTTCTGCAATTCAACGCTGCGCTTTGGAGCACACAGCAACTATCATTGGAAAGCTGTTGCAGGGTCACAGTGCGAGCAGGGGGCAGCTCACAGTCCAGACACCGGGCTGCAAATCAGGAGACCCTGCATGCCCTGTTAGCACTCGATCACTTAGTGCCCACCTGAATGTCACCCCCCAACCACCCTGCCTCAGCTTTTCGTGGTTTGGCCAGCAGCTGGTAGTGTGAAGACTCCCACAGACACTGGCGAGCTGGTCACATTTGTCAGCTGGTCCATCAGTCAAAGGGGGATTGTCCAACAGCACAGTTCCATCCTCTATCTCGCAGTTACATCCAGAGCTGGCAGCCAATGCACTGACCATGCAAACGGCCAAGTTTAAGGGGAATAGTGAAGCCCAGGGAGATGCCCGTCAGTCAGGGGATGTCAAGGGAAGCCTCCAACATCACTGCAGGGGTTTGGACATGGCATTGAGCCATTCCAGGCTGTCACTGGTCAGGGGTGGCAAATCCAGGGAGGTGATGGCCTAGTGGCGTTATCACTAGTCTCTTAATCCAGAGACCCAGGGCAAAGGGTGGCACGGTGCCTCAGTGGTTAGCACTGCTGCCTCACAGTGCCGGGGGCCTGGGTTCGATTTCCCCCTTGGGTAACTGTCTGTGTAGAGTTTGCACGTTCTCCCCGTGTCTGCGTGTTTCCTCCGGGTTCACTCCCACAGTCCAAAGATGTGCTGGCTGGGTGGATTGGTGAAATCAATGTCAAATGTCAGGAAAAACCCATCTGGTTTACTAATGTCCTTTAGGAAGGTAATCTATCATGTTTACTTAGTTTGGTCTACATGTGACTCCAAACTCACTCAATGTGGTTGATGCTTAACCCTCCTTCTGGGCAATTAGGGATGGGTAATAAATGCTGGCCTGGTCAGTGGTGCCCTCATCTCATGAACGACTAAAAGAAAACTCCAGATTTCTCACTGAGGAGGGGAGGTGATGGCCTAGTGTTATTATCACTGGACTGTTAATCCAGGGACCCTGATAATGTTTTGAGGAGCCAGGTTCGAATCCTACCTTGACAGATGGTGGAATTTGTATTCAATAAATATCTGGAATTAAGAATCTAGTGGTGACCATGAATCCATCGCCATTTTTTGGGGAAAAACCCATCTGATTCACTAATGCCCCTTTAGGGAAGGAAACTGCTGGCCTACGTGTGACTCCAGACCCACAGCAGTGTGGTTGACTCTTAACTGCCCTCTGGGCAATTAGGGATGGGCAATAAATGTTGGCCTGGCCAGCAACACCCTCATCCCATGAATGAATAAAGGGTGATAAAAAGGAGCTGGATATTGGACTCCCTGCCATATTGTCTTGTCCTGCTTTTTCATTCCCTGGCATGGGCTGTCTTCTCCTGGAATGAGCCAAAGGGAGGGATTGAGCAGGATGTCAGTGAGTGGCACCGCTCTCGGCGTTGGTGTAGGTTGTGGGGGTGGTTGGGGAAGGGGGCAAAGATGGTGAGGTCCCTTGCGAGTGAGGAGGTAGTGGAGGGGTCTTGTGGAGGGTGACAGCAAGTGAAGGACAATGCGACCTGTGATACCAGGAGTAGCTTGCCATGAGCCTCGATGCGAGATGTATGTGGTCGCAGAGCTGGGCTGTGAGGTACCAGAGAGATGATGGTGGCACTTATCCTGGCAGAGCGGTCATCGACCTCCTTCCTAATTTTGCTGGGCACTCCTCCAGAAGGCTGACAACCTGCAATACCAGGTGACCACATCAGCCTAGACTGGTACGATCAAGTGCAGTGCCCTCCTGTGGCATTCCTGGGCCATCAGGGTAAGTGGCTGCTGATTGAAGACACAGATGAGGAGGAATTTCTTCTCTCAGGAGATAGTGTAATCCTTTACCATAGAGCAATGTTGAGACTTAATAACTCAATAAATGTACTCAAGGCTGAAACAGACAGATTTTTAATCAGGAAGGACATCAAGGCTCATGGGGAAAAGGCAGGAAAGCAGAATTGAGGATTCTCAGATCAGCTGATAGTGTAGGCTCAATGGGCCGAATGGCCTAATTCTGCTCCCATGTCTAATTGACAGATGCTCCCTATCCTGCACCACCCCATCCATCAGCTGCTCACCTGCACAACAGAGCACCAATTTCCTCCTGAATGCCGTATCCAGAGCAGATTTGCCAAACTGTGCAGGGTGATTCTGCAGTGGCCGCACTTAACTGGGAGCACAATGGCCTTTAAAGATGGCACCAGTGCCCATGATCCAGGGCTTTCCCGGGATATCCCAGCGGTGGTGAGTATTCCCTGCTGTGGGGGTTGGAACAATTGGACCAGCATTGGCTGAGAGAGGTGCCAGAGTGGCGCAGTGGGGTAGGGAGTGAAGTAAGTTTGAGGTGAGAAACCAGGCTGAGCCTCATAGAGAGAAACCCTCGGTGAAACTTATTGAAAATGACACTCTGCCAAAATAAAGTCAGCTGTCTGCTATCATGAAGAAAGATTGAAAAAAAAATTGTGAGATACGCTAAAGGATTGGCAAGAATGAGGAAGTGAAAGAAATTACCATTAGCAAAATAAAGTGCTGAAAAAAATTAATGTCACTGAAAATAAAGCAATTGTTTGCAACTGAAGATTGACATTTCGGAGTGTTGAATGAAGTGCCGATAGATAATTGGTGTAAAATTTCCCAAAGTTTCTGGAATGGTTCCTGAAGGTTGACAGGGAGCTAATGTAACTTCAGGATGTTCGAAAGGATGGAGATAAAAATGGGGAACTAAAGGCTTGCTAGTCTGACGTTAGTAATAGGGAAAATACTGGAATCGATAATAAAAGATTTGATGACTGGTTTCTTAGAAAAGAATGGCAGGACTGGGCAGTCAAACATTGATTTATGAAAGAGTGCTCATGTTTGAGAAACATGTTATGTATTTTGGAATCATAGAGTCAGAGATTTTTACAGCACAGAAACAGACCTTTCAGTCCAACTCATCCATGATGACCAGATATACTAAATTAATCTAGTCCCATTTGCCAGCATTTGGCCCATATCCCTCTAAACCTCTATTCATGTACTCATCCAGATGCCTTTTAAGTGTTGTAATTGTACCCACCTCTACTACTTCCTTTGGCAGCTCGTTCCATGCATTCCCTCTGTGTGTAAAAGTTGCCCCTTAGGTCCCTTTTATATTTTTTCCCTTTCACCTTAAACCTATGCCCTCTAATTTTGGACTCACCTACCTGCCGCTCAGCTCCTCACTCTTATATGGAGAGAATCCTGAGTCTGACCACCCCAAGTAGCTGACTGATCAGGTCCAAGCCCCTGCACCAATACTGGGGGCTGCACTTTCCTTACTGTGCCAGGACCCCCTGACTGAATGCTCTCTCCCTGGGCTTGACGAGACGACATTCCAGCCTCAACAAGCTTCTTGGCTTTGCGCCTGTGTTAAACAACAAGGCAAGAACAGCAGTGATAGGGACCTAGTAGCTCTGGCTGAGGGGGCAAAGCACATAAAGGCAGGTAGGGAGCTCTGACCACCACGTAGACTCGGATAGAGAGAGTGCAGTGAAAGTGCGTGAGGAACCCAGAGATACAGCCTGGTCCGGTCTATGAGCTGGGAGTCTGAACCTGAGCAAACAATAGCCTTGCTGCAGTGTTACACTGAGAGTTACCGGGACAGACGGGGATATAGTGTTACAGTGAGAATTACTGGGACATCCCTGGGATACAGTGTTACAGTGAGAGTTACCGGGACAGACGGGGATACAGTGTTACAGTGAGAGTTACTGGGATACAGTGTTACAGTGAGAGTTACCGGGACAGACCATGATACAGTGTTACAGTGAGAGTTACCGGGGCATCCCTGGGATAGAGTGTTACATTGAGAGTTACCGGGACATCCCTGGGATAGAGTGTTACAGTGAGAGTCACCGGGACAGAGCAGGATACAGTGTTACAGTGAGTGCTACCAGGACAGTCCGGGCTACAGTGTTACAGTGAGAGTTACCGGGAAAGCCCGGCATACAGTGTTACAGTGAGAGTTACCGGGACAGACCGGGATACAGTGTTACAGTGAGACTTACCGGGACAGACCGGGATACAGTGTTCCAGTGAGAGGTACCGGGCTACGGTTTTACAGTGAGAGTTACCGGGACAGACCGGGCTACAGTGTTACAGTGAGAGT